ATCTGGTCAACTTCAGGGCTGCACATTGTCTGCTAATTTGAAAATGGAAAATCTTTTTAACAATTTGAGGCTATATGAATAACAAAATTTGCATTTTTTAATTTTAGGTTTATGCATTTTAAATTTGCAATTGCTTTTAATTTGACTGTGCAAAAATATTTGACTTAATTTATTTTTTCATTTTGATATAAAAAAATATAGATTAAATATATCAGCTACATACTTCCATGCATGCCACTGTCCTGTGGCTCTGTGTATATACACAGCCTTCCATTTTTTAAATAAACACAGACACCTGTAAGACGTTAGGAGAGAGAGGCCTGGGTGTGAACTGGGGGGCGGCCCAAAACACTGTTTACAGTGCAGCAGGGTAATAGTAGAAGCAGATAAGGAGGCTGAGGGGCTTTGTGCTAACAGCTTTATGAAAGTGTTTGCACAGCCATGAAATGAAGAGCGTATGATTATAAGGTGTTTGCCTTCCGGCAGGAGTGTGAAGGACTCTCAGCTGTAACAGGAATCCATTTACTGTATTACATGCTGTGCAGCTTTTTTCATCATCTGTCAGTGTAACGATACATTAGAGATACGATTAGAGATAAGAGCTCATAAGACAGAGCTTTAACTTTTAAGTTGCGCTTTTTGACAAAAAACAAACAAACAGGCAATAAAATGCTGCAATATGGAAAATCATCACAAACTAAACCAAGAGCAAACAATTATTTTGGCTGCAGAAAAAGCCATCACAACACTAAGCCAAATCCATAACTGGCTGAAGACATTGAGGTTAACAGAGACTGACACAAGGGACTGAGGGGAAGTCAACACTATATAGACACAGAAGGGCAGTCAGGGGAAGTGGACACAGCTAGTGAAAACAAGACATAGCAGTGGACACTTTATTCAATGAGACAGGAGGGGAAGTAAAACCAAATGTGAGACACTAAAAATAAGTAAGTACTAAAGTAAAACAGAACTTGAAAAATAATAACTAAATGAGAAACGTAAAGACATTATTAAACATTTTCTGATGTGTATCAGTCCCCTAGGATTAGTTCATTCACAACCAGAACCTGAAAGTCCACAAGCACAAGCAGCTAAACCTGCAGTGTTGTTTTCTGTGATAATTGAAGTATAAGCCCTCCCAGGCTAGGGTAAGGGTTTTCTTTTTCAGAATGATTTGGATTAACTAAATTTGATTACTTAAAAGTACATTTTTGCTTTTGAAAACTGTTGGGCAAATGTCACATTTTCTCATTGTTCTGAGTATTGGTCAATTTAGTGAGTGCTGTCAAATAAATCATTTTTATGCTGCCAAAGAAAAACTACTAGTTGTAGTCAATCATGATCACTAACAAGAGGCGCTGGCCTTATCAAGTTAGAAGAATCTTCAGCACCACCTCATTGTAATCGAATTTGATCCTGCATATATACTTTTTTATACACTGTATACAAATGCTCTCTCTCTATATCTATCTATCTATCGAGATATATCTATATATATCTATACACTCCAAAATCAACTCAAATGTGTGCGCTGTTTCTTCTTTTGTACAGATGTACACTATAAATCAGGGGTGTCAAACTCAAATACACAGTGGGCCAAAATTCAAAACTGGAACAAGGTCTCGGGCTAACATTAATATTTATTGAAAAAAATCTTCCTCCAGATTTAAGAATGAATCTCTTCTTATGGACTCAAACAAGTTTTGCTGAAAAACTGAATATGGAACAAGCAAAGCTTAATACTAAACAATATATATATTAGCTGTATAATACCAGTAGGCCAGCTCTAATAATAATTTGGTATGGCTTCGCGGGCCAAATGTAATTAGGCTGCGGGCCAAATTTGGCCCGCGGGCCAGAGTTTGACACCTATGCTATAAATCATTCCAACCTGGGAAGGGGAAAAAGATAATTAAAAGAAATCATTAAAAGCCCCAAATTATCATGATAATCATGCCCATGAAAACTTCTGCTCCAGGTTACATTTAAGATCTTTAGCCTGCACTTACCCGCTCGAACTCTCTGGTCCTCCCATCGGATGCTTTTACTGGTCCCACGCTCCCACTTAAAATCTAAAGGATACTTTCTCTGTCATTGCTCCGAGACTCTGGAACAGTCTTCAGTCTTTTATAAAGGCCTCCTTCTCTTTGGAAATCTTCAAATTGAACTTTAAGACCTACCTATTTTCACAGGCTTTCAGATCACTTTTAAAACCTGGTCTGTTCTGTCTTAGTTATTGTTTTTTGTTTTTTTTTTAATATATATGTATGTATGTGTACATGTATGCTTGTATTTACTTATTTGTATATAAGTGTATGGATGTTTATATAGATTTCTTTCATCTTCATTTATTTTTGATCCGTTCTTTTATTTGAACTACATTGTACCTCTGTTTAACACTTTGGATGACACTTGATGTCTTTTAAACGTTCTATACAAAAAAGCTGACTTGACTTGAAAGCTGACGAGGAGTTAAATGCATTCCTGCTGCAGGGGATTCAGCAGCATTAACATGTCATAGGGACAGCCCACCAAGTTAGGAGGGTTTTTATAAAATACAATGTACTATATACATACATACTATATACTGTACTATATATGGAGAGGTTGTGGTTGCTACACTGATCTGTAAACTGTGTTTTTTCCACAGGAGACCTGGTACTGGTCGGGTGAGGTGAGCGCTGATGCTGTGGTGATGAGTGGCGTTCGGTGCTCTGGAACTGAGATGTCTCTGTCCCACTGCCTGCACCATGGAGCCCACCTCAGCTGCCCCAAAGGAGGCGGCCGCTACGCTGCCGGGGTCTCCTGCTCTGAGAGTAAGACAGTGAAATGAGCAGTGTGCTGAAAAGTCATATTATGTTATCTGTGTAAAATTTGCCTCAACAAAGCCTGATCATGAATGAATAAATAAATTGGCCTTTCCACTTTTAAACCTACTTTGAATGGAGCCTTGAAAATCTTTTACTCCTTCAATCTGCACATTCAGTTTTAATTCAACAAATGTAAATAACTTTGACCTAGAGCTGCTAGAACAATTTCTGTATGTCCCTAAAAATGTTTCAGCAGCATGTATTTTTCACTTCTATCTATAGCGGCACCAGACCTGGTGCTGAACCCTCAGGTGGTGGAGCAGACCACCTACATGGAGGATCGGCCCATGTTCATGCTGCAGTGTGCATATGAGGAAAACTGCCTGTCCTCCACATCCAGCGAGGTTCCTGCCAACACCTACCGCCGCCTGCTGCGCTTCTCCTCACAGATACACAACAATGGCCAGTCCGACTTCCGACCCAAAGCTGACAAGCACTCGTGGGTGTGGCATGACTGTCACAGGTCAGTGAAAGTACAAGCACAGTTTTGGAGGTTTGATACTAGATTTTATCAAGTGATCGCATTCTTGATCACTAACCCCGGGCAATCAGAATATGTTTTTTTTTTTTGTTTTGATCAAATTGTTCTTCCAAGTCTTGAAAGAACAATTCATTTCAACATCTGTTTTCCCAAAAGGTGCATTTTTGCTTTCTCCAAGATGCAGGGTTAGTGTCAGGAATTACCACCTGTGATGACTAAGACCTCAGAGGGTTCATGCTGATGGCTGTCAGACCTTTTCTCGTTGCAAGCACTGGATTTATACACCTACTAAATCCCCTTTAGAAACATAAATTACACCTTCATTAAAAACTACAAGCAAAAAGCCAGTGGACTGTTGGCAGCCTTCAGCTTTCAGTATATCAGGACGGTCAATTTATTTATTTTTTATTTAAAGAACGCCGGTGCCCTTGAGACTAGAGCTAAAAAGACAAGAAGTGTCTTCTTTTAAAGACTGAAGTATGTTCCCGTCTTTGTGTGTAGGCATTATCATAGCATGGAGGTGTTCACCATCTATGACCTATTCAGCCTCAATGGAACCAAAGTGGCTGAAGGACACAAAGCAAGTTTCTGCCTGGAGGACTCAGAGTGTGATGAAGGTAAGATCTGAAAAAGGAATTCGGTTATGGAAGGAAATAAATTTTTCACTTTTGAAACATGTGGCAGAAAACTAATTCTTATATGTTCAGTAATGGACTTTTAAAGCTTCTTTAAACGACATGTTTACTGAAAAGGGTGACTTAACACTATCTAAGGTGAAAAGGTTGACTTTTAATTTCAGAATTATTAAGCAGCTCCACAGTTATCCAAGATGTAAGGAGCTTTTCCAGGGTCTTTCAGTTTTTTGTTTTGTTTTTATGGCTTATAACTAGACACTCACTACTCTGGTCAGCTACAGGATTCAGCATGAATTTTAAAATTGAACCCATATATTTGAGGTTGCCTGATTTAGTTCAATTCAATTAAATAAAACCCAGTACACTTTTATTTATATTACGCCAATTCAGATTAACAGTCATCTCGAGACCCTTTATAACTTACAATAGTAGAATAAAACTCCAACGATCTCACAGCCCCCTGCAAGCACGTGGTGACAATGGGGAGGAAAAACTCCCTCTTAACAGGAAGAAACCTCTGGGAATATGAAAGAGAAGAGAGCAGAGCAAAACAGGATAAAAGGCAAGGAGAGAAAGCCAGAGTTTAATAATAGATAATGATTAAAGAGGGGTGCATAGTAATAGTGTGTAAAGACAGAGGGAAACTAGATGAGTTTCAGTTTGTCAATGCCTGATAAGCAATGACAAATATTTTTATATTTTGTTATTGCAGGTATTGAAAAGAGGTATGAATGTGCCAACTTTGGAGACCAGGGTATTACTGTGGGTTGCTGGGATACCTACAGGCATGACATCGACTGCCAGTGGGTCGACATTACCGATCTGAAACCCGGGGATTACATTTTCCAGGTGATGTTTCCCGCCTTTAGCTCTTTTGCTAGTGAACCAACAGTTCAGCAAGATTCAGCTGTTCATACAATGGCTTCAAACTGCATCTATAGCGTCTCATTCGTGCCCTCCCTCTTGCAGATTATAATTAATCCAAACTACGAAGTGCCAGAGTCGGACTACACCAATAACTTCACGAAATGCAGATGTCGATATGATGGCCATCGTGTGTGGATGTACAGCTGCCATAATGGTAAGATGATAAGGCTATATCTGCTCTTTGTCGTTTGGTAAAGTGTTTACTGCACTTACTTTTTAACCAACTAACTAAATTTGTTAAACAGTTTCAGATTTTAATGCTAAAATCTTTCATTAATGAGTTGCCCTGCTATTTCACATGAATGCTATTGAGTACCCTGTGAGCTTCTTTTTATTTATTTTTTCAATTTCCTATGCTTGACAATTAGAGTGAGTGATTCTCCAAGTGTAAAACAAGGACAAAATGCGTAGGTGGTAACTGTCTGTCTCTGCTGCTGAACTTCTAGGTGGCTCATTAAGCAGTGAAACAGAACAGACATTCCCGGGCCTCCACAGCAACCAGGTGACCCACAGGTAAAGACAGAGCAGAGGAGTGGAGTTAACTGGCCTATGCTTTCAGTAGAACGACCGGCTGAAGCCAACCAACCACTACACATCTCATCTATGTGGATTCCTCTGACCAGCCGTGCCCTGGTCAAAGCATCTGTTTTTACGCTCGCCTCATCCATGAGGCAGTCGCTTTCTTTGACCCTCTCCCCTCCCGTTTCCCTCCGGCAGACAGAATATTTGATTCCCCCTTCTGTCCATGCAGCGGCAGCTACTTTAACAACACTTCCAACCTCTCTGGTTAAGAGCAAGAGAACGGTGAAACTCTCTGTATGCCCTGTGACAGAGAGAACTTGTTTTTACAGACCTGCAGGTTAGTGGCAGGTGTATTACACAAGGCAAAGTATCGAGGAATGTCATTACGAGTCTGCCTACTTTGAAATGCAGCTTTTTAAAAGAACCCTGCTGCACTTCTTTTGTGTGTATGTCTGTGTGTGTTTTCCCCGAAACTCTCCCTGAAGAGTTTGGTTTGTCTGTGCCAGGTCGCCTGAAGATTGACAGGAATCATCAATAGCAAACACAGCAGCCTGTGTGTGGAAATGCAGGCTATTTTTCATTCCATTCATTTTTTTTAGCAGTTTCAGAAATGTTTTTTTACATGCTGAAGCCCAGATAAACTAAGCTTCCTATTGCATATGTTATTTAAGCTTCACACCTTCAGTGAGGAATTTTTTTCAAATTAAGCTGTGGCAGAAGCAATTTCTGCAAAGCAAAACAGCCCGTTCATCACCAATTACAAGTGCTAATTGCCTGGTTCGGCTGGAAGACTAATCTACCATGGCTGAAACGTGACGTATTAAAGTGCCTTAAAGTGCCCAAAGCCATTTTAGCTCTGCACACTGCACTGACAAGATTGTGGTCACATTTCATAGAAGAGTAGCACTAAAAGTCTCTGAAGAAGCTGATCATATAAAAGTATGTTGAAAGAAATATAGAAAGGAATATTATCTTTCCTATTTACAGCAAGCAATAATTACTTCTAATAGGGGCTTTTGATTTAGTATGCCTGCCAACATTACCTTATGCTGGGCTAAAGCTGAGCAGACACTGTGTGATTTTTTTCAGTCGCGCTTTTCAGCTCCTGCTCAAACTGTACGATTGACTCGCAGAGGTTAGAAGTTCGTAGGTCACGATGCAGGGTCTCACACTATACGGCCCGATGCTCTGATGCGACCTGAGTGCTCACACTGTGCGTCCATAAAAATGAAGGTTATAACAGAAAATCTGTCGCTCACTCTCCCTCTCTGTCTTTCACTCACACAGTGTTAATGAAAAACACTGATCGGGCAGCTGTGATTGAGCAGCAATGTCCATCCAACTATTTTCACGGTTGTTGTGGTCGTGATAATTTTGTGAGGCCACATCGAGGGGTTTGGATGAGCTTTGCAAAGTTCTACAAGTTGTGCCTCCATCGCTTGTGTCCAGATCACACGCCGCACTCACTGCTGTGCTACTCCGTCTTTTTCACCTACATTTATGTGTTTGAGCGTGCGCAGTGTGAGAAACTGCGGTGACACCCTCACGACGGTCACCAAGCGATTGATGATCGGGAGCTGGTCGTGAGGTGTTAATCGCTTGTCGTTACCCCACATATACTACACGATGCACGATGAAGGCCAAAATCGGACCGATCGCCAAAACGGTCGCACGACTGAAAAATCGGCTCAAAATGGGCCAAAAATCGCACAGTGTATGCCCAGCTCAAAGATCCTCTGATCAGCTTGTTTATGCTGCCCTCTAGTGGTTTACAATTTTCCAGGTTCCAGGTTGCTGAAGTGTTGCAAACGTGTACTGCAGTCAGTACACATTTATATTACTATGAGGTGCAGGTTTTACAGTAAGATGCTTAACAGACATAAGTTAAAACATAAGAACCCACAAACTGTCCAAAAAAATGTTCTAAAGTGAAACAAACACAGTTAAAAAAAAAAAAAAACCTCTTTAAAATCTAATCCTTTTAATTATTTTTATTGTGAACCTTCAGTATTACTATTATTATGTGTCTCAGTCTCACAGGTCTAGAGACCCCCTGGCAACCTCAAGGGGTAAGGAAATTATGTATTCTTCAACCAGTAGGCAAGTGGTTACTGGAGGTTGCTAGTGGTCACTGAATGTTATTGGCTGCAAAGTGGAGGCTACAGTAAAGCTACTTTTGATTTGGCTGAGATGCCGATTTAGTGCAAACACTGGTGACCTAACCACTCTGCATTAGTGAAACTTCAAAAAGTCCATTGCAGAACCACAGGAAGGCTGTTGGTCAGCAAAAAAGTTCCACCTTACAACTGAAACCAACATGTTTCAACTTCTACTTTTACTTTAAAGGTAAACAGTCTCCATTTCTGGTTGGTGTCACGGTTTTCACAGCTTCACTACAACTTATAGAGTAGTTTGTAAATTTTTCCAAACAAGTCGCTGATTTCCATGCTAACTACTGCTGACTGTGACAACCTGCTAGTGAGCAAAGCAATAGCAAGGAAGTTTTCAGTGTAGCACTGTATACTTTTTTTGCAACCAATTTCACGCTAGCAACATCCAGCAACCATACACCAACTGGCTGTGGAATACACACTTTTTGCTAGCATGTATGGGTGGCAGGGGTCACTGATTGGTCTCTAGGTCTGCATAAATTGGTCTTAAGCATTCAATTCACAGCAACTACCAGCAAATACTTGCAATCATTTGGGGAGTAAATACAAACAGGTGTCTACACCTGTGGGATTGGGGTCTTATGTAACCAGTGAAATCATTTTAACTGCATCACGTTCTAGCTGCATCAGCTAAATCAAATACATACCATTTTCAAGCTATTATGATGATGCACTGGCTGCTGGTGAAGAACTGCTTGTCAAAAATACAGGAAGCTCCCGATTGGTTTAGCTAATAAACTTTTAATATATAGACCTTTGTTGATGCTTCACATGATAGTTTGCAAATATTTAAGAGACAGGCATTATGTGGTATAAATGTGTCTTGTTTGACTTTATAATCCTGTTAGCAACAGAGATGTGCTAAATGTTGGTTTAAAAGTACAAGTTTCTTTCCAAGTTACACCTATAAGTTGGGGGTTTTTTTCAGAAAAACAGAGCTGGGCGATATAAGATTTTTTCATATCACGATATGTTTTTTTCATTTCAGGCGATAACGATATATATCACGATATAAGCCAAATAACTATATTTGTAAGATTTAAATGTGCCGTTGCTCACAAGTAAAATGTGAAATAATCAGCAGCTTGTTTTGATTTAAATATTTATTTCCCATAATAAGTTCAACAGGGTAGATGTACTTAAGGAACATGAGACTTTTTCACATAAATAAAGGCAAATATTACAAATTACACAAAAGGCAGCCGCTAAAGCGTTTAAGTTTCAAAATACAACAGACAAAACACACTACTAAATTGTCAATTCCACTTAGAAACAAAATATTAATTCTAAAAATAAATCTTAGTTTGTTTTACAGAAGAACAGACAAAATTGATTAACTTTTGTCAATATCAAATAAACTGAGAACCAAAAGGAAATTCTCAATCTCTCCTTGTTGTATAGCTTAGCTTTTCAAACAGTTTTAACAGTTACTTTAGTCTGACAAAAGCCGAATGACAAATTAGCGCTTCCAGTCAGAGATTGAGCATGCACCGGTTTATTGTATTTCCAGACTTGCTTTCGGCACAATTTACAGTGCACGCTACTCTGTTTTTTGTCAGACTTGAAATAGCCGAAATACCTTCACACTATGGAACTTCTATGGCTCTTCCGTTCAACAATCTCTCCGGCATTGGAACCATCATCTGTTTTCTCTTCGGTAACCTTCGGTCATGCTCACGGTTGATTTTTCTCTAGTCGGGACACTCATTTCCTCCATTACCCGGGCGGCACGGCGGCTGGCTGCTTCCCAAACAAATACACATGTGCTGCTTGGCACTTGTGCTGTACGTAACAAGTCACGTGACGTGACGCTGCGGCTGTGATTGGTTCGGCTCTGCGCTACTTAATTTGGATTGGCTGTTTTTTTTTTTTTTTAAGAGGACAAGAGCGGTGAGGCCTATCGCAATAGTTTAATTTTTCTATCGAGAAAAAGTTATTTCGCAATACATATCGTTATCGTTCTATCGCCCAACTCTAGAAAAACATGATATAGTAGAAACACAAATCCATGTCATTGGTCCTGTTATGTTATCAGTGTTCTGTTGTAAGCTAGTGTAAATGGATTACTTCCTGTCGTTAGCTGGTATCTGCAGGTACCATGCATTCGGATGTTTTCCCTTCAATTCAAAAACTGTCAGCTGCAAATTCAAATATCACAATAAAAAGTACTTTAAGACATTTGATTTTATATTTAACTCCAGTGTGGCTTTTAGCCTTCCAGTCAGTGGGACTCTTTTAACATGAGGATCACAGGACTGCTCTACAGTAACATGCTGTCAAATTTCCTCTTGCTGCTTTACATGATGTCTTCATAAGGCAACAGAAGACCTGATCTCCATCCTGTGGCACCACAGATCCTCTAACAACAAATAGAGAATGCATTCCTCCCTGTTTGTCTGTTCCAGATATGTTGTTTTTCTCTTTTATTCTTTTGTACAACAATGTGTGAATCCAGTGTTATTTTAATGGTGCTATCAAGCTGGTTCTCTGTTTTCTGAGGACACTTTACATGTTGAACAGCCACATACTAATAGTATACTTGAACTGAGCATACACAACCATTTGTTATTGTGTTTTCTTATTAATGACCTTGTTACCCCCTTGCTAATGTAATCCTCTTGGTTTTTAAACTGCTGATATGTAGTGTTTTTAGACCAATGTCTGATTGTGGAATACTCTTCCTGTCACAGTGGGATATCGAGTTTTTAGTGCTGTCTTGCTGTTCAGTTCCAAAGCCAAGTATCAGGAAAGTTTGTGACTTTGAACCACAGACTGGACTGTCTGCTAAAATCAGCTGTCTTTGCAGCATTCACCCTGCATAAGATGGACTTTTTTCCTGTTCTGTGTCAGATTTTTAGTACATTTGCAATAACTTTTTTCCTTTATTGTTGTGAGTTGTTGGGTGTAGAGTCAATTAAATTTACAACACAATAAACTAAAAGTGTGTGGATAATTTGTGGACAGACTGCACATTTTGGCTTAAATATTTCCATTTCCATTTGTAAGACGTTAGTGAGCCTAGCTTGGATAATGGCTATAAGCTACACTTGCAAGACTAACTCCTGATTTTGTAGGAAGAGACTGTAAACAAAAAAAACAAAAGCACAGACAGAAAGACAACAAATTACTGCATTATAGTCGTAGACGGCATAAAAGATCGGTGTAGCCTTTGGGTATGAAAAATGAAACTGCGTTCTATCTGAAGGCTCCCAGATGGCAATAGCTGTGGTAGCAAAACCACTTAGAGTAATTTTAGACGTATATGGGAAAACATCTTGATGTATTCTCAATCATCCAGGTAAGTAAATCTCCAAAGGTTGATTCTGTTCATCTGAACGTAGCGTTTTGTGGGAGAAACGTTTCGTCACTCATCCAAGTGACTTCTTCAGTCTCAGCTGACTGCAGGTTTCCCCAATCTTATAAACAGTACATTTGCATAATGGCTGAAACCAGCCCACTGAAGGAACAACGGGCTGTGAGGTCAGTTCCTTCGTCATGATTATGCAAATTCTAATGACCATTGATCAACGACCACTGACTCTTTATAAGATTGGGGAAACCTGCAGTCAGCTGAGATTGAAGAAGTCACTTGGATGAGTGACGAAACGTTTCTCCCACTGAAAACACTACGTCCAGATGAACAGAATCAACCTTTGGAGATATTTGGGAAAACAACTTTCTGATTTAACCCAGATCTGTTAACTCTTTCTGAGTTTATGGGCTCATTTAAAAACCTTCTTTGTCGCATCTGCTTTTTCTAACCATGATGGCAATGGCAGAAACGTTAGTTCCCAGAATTTAAAAGAGGCCTTCAGAGACCAGTGGGTGGCATAAAGGTAGCTAGGGTAGGTATAGTAAGATTACTTATTGTAAGATAACTTTAGATTAGTTGCTAAAGGGTTAGATAACTAAACATTTGTAAGTGTTGTGAAGATACCTTCAAATTTTTAATTTTCCCAATTTAGCTATAGTT